GTAGTAGTAGTAATAGTAATCAGTAGTAGTAGTACTGTAGTAAGTAGTAGTAAGTAATAGTATAAGCAGTAAAATCAATGCCAGTCAGGGGCATCCTAACCTGGGGGTTGGCGCCTTTAACCTCCACCCTCTCCTTTTTTTTAATTTAAAAAAAAATTTGATTTTTTCAAACCACCATGTTTGATTTTTCAACGATTTCCACATGTTAACTGTGTTACTCGGTTTAAAAAAAATCTAATCATGCCATATTACTTCAAATATATTTTCATATTTATTCCTTGTTCAGCAAATTATTATTACTCACTTCTATATGGTCTAGACCTTTTATACTCTTTTCTTGAGATTATTTATAAGGGTAATGAGGCCTTTTCTTTCTCCTGTCCGTCCTGGGATTTCTTGCGTCGGCACCTGTGATGGCAATACTCTTGTATACGAAAGAATCATAATTAACTTAGTAAAGATAATAGCCAACGGATTTTAGACATAGCGTTCTTCACTGTGTCATTCAGTTGTTACTTTTAAACTTGTATGAGAAAATAATCTTTTAAAATAAATTTTGGATGTGCCCAACGTGGTTTGTGATGTGAACTGCATATTCACTTCTGTTGCTACAGAACTGGTGGTGCCAAATGCAATTAATTGCGTGTGCAGTTAAGAAAGGGAGCGCTTCACTGTTTCAGTCCCATCAAGCTGTTACTTTTGAAACTTGTATGGGAAATTGCATTGGGGGGGGGGGGGGGAAGGGATTGAGGGTGGGGGATTCTTTTTAAATGTTCCCAACGCGGTTTGTGTTGTGAATTGCAGATTAAGGACATGAGTTGTGGCCTGTTGCCACAGAACTGGTGGTGCCTTATGCGTGGTCATCAACTCATTTAATGCATGTGTAGGCTACTGACTTTGTCGAGACTGTAGACTGTATCAGTTATACATTATTTCACAGGTGACAATGATGGACATTCTGTGTGGTTTTGTCTGGCACTGGAACGAAGGGTTATAGTTTGACCTGTTTGTTGGGATTGTTGGACTGCAGTTAACCTAATGTCTTCATTTGTATGAGAAAATGTGTGGGTGTTAGAGTAACTTTTTGTCATGATACTTATAAGGGTAAATGTAGAATAAATATGAGACTGTCAGCAAAAGGCACGATTAGTGAGAATCACGAGGCACACAAATCACGAGAGATACATGAGGTCTTGGAAACGAGGTTAGATATGCTGACCAAGTGGACGCTCTGGACATCTCTAATTTGGTAGTGTCACATGGAATAGAGTCAGGGCAGAATTCAGATTTAATGAGATCTTAAGCTATGTAAAGCTTTGAGGCCCACACTGTTTCAAATTACACCAACTAATCTCTTAAAACTACAAGTTATACTACTCCTTCTTCTTCAGCATTCTGCGCCCTTTAGATTCATTGCTGAAGATATCAACCGCCTCCATTCATCTCTCTGGTTGGCTTTCTTCATCTTTCCAAGTCCCGGAGATTCATTGCTGAAGATATCACCCGCCTCCATTCATTTCTCTGGTTGGCTTTCTTCATCTTTCCAAGTTCCGGAGATTCATTGCTGAAGATATCACCCGCCTCCATTCATCTCTTTGGTTGGCTTTCTTCATCTTTCCAAGTCCCGGAGATTCATTGCTGAAAATATCACCCGCCTCTATTCATTTCTCTGGTTGGCTTTCTTCATCTTTCCAAGTCCCGGAGATTCATTGCTGAAGATATCAACAGCCTCCATTCATCTCTCTGGTTGGCTTTCTTCATCTTTCGAAGTCCCGGAGATTCATTGCTGAAGATATCACCCGCCTCCATTCATTTCTCTGGTTGGCTTTCTTCATCTTTCCAAGTCCCGGAAATTCATTGCTGAAGATATCACCCGCCTCCATTCATCTCTCTGGTTGGCTTTCTTCATCTTTCCAAGTCCCGGAGATTCATTGCTGAAGATATCACCCGCCTCCATTCATTTCTCTGGTTGGCTTTCTTCATCTTTCCAAGTCCCGGAGATTCAATGCTGAAGATATCACCCGCCTCCATTCATCTCTCTGGTTGACTTTCTTCATCTTTAGAAGTCCCGGAGATTCATTGCTGAAGATATCACCCGCCTCCATTCATTTCTCTGGTTGGCTTTCTTTATCTTTCCAAGTCCCGGAGATTCATTGCTGAAGAAATCACCCGCCTCCATTCATCTCTCTGGTTGGCTTTCTTCAGCATTCCGAGCCCTTGAGATTCATTGCTGAAGATATCGCCCGCCTCCATTCATCTTTTTGGTTGGCCTTCTCTTTCCAGATGGTGGCACTAAGTATTTGCTGATCTGTCTGGACATTATCTATCCATCGTCTTCTTGGTCTGCCTCGTGGTCTACGACCATTTAGCTCTCTTGTTTATACAGTTTTTAACACTCTTTTATCTGACTGAAAAGCACCCGGGCCAGACAACACCTTATTGGAAGAAATCGAAGAACTGAGAGATTTTGGAATTGGTGTTATTTTGGGACTAGTACATAAATTTAAGTATCTGGGCATATGGATAACATCAGGTGGAAGTTGCATTAATGGGATGAGAATCAAAATAGGACAGACAAAAACTGAAGAACATCTTATGAAATATCTCTCTGTCATTGAAGGTTAAAAAATGAATTTTTGCTTGCTACATACATCCAGTTTTAAAATATGGCTGTGAATCCTGGACAATCGGTAGACAGGCCAAACAATTTCTTGAGGCCCCAGTAACGTGGTTTCACTGAAGAATGCTTAGAATACATTGAACAGTCAGAAAGAGCAACCAAGAGGTTTTGGAAGAGGCGGGAGCTCGAAGACAACTTATCTTAGATATCAGAAGGAGACAGTCATCATTTTTCGGCCATGTTATGAGAAGAGAGAAAATGGAAATATTTTGACCACTGGAAAGATCTGTGGAAGGAGAAATAGAGGAAAACAAAGAGAGAAGATTCTTGACATTCTTGTTGTCTGGCATAGAGGTGTGTCAGCATACGAATTGATACATGCTGCAGGAGATCGCAGATTTTGGAGAGGCATGATCGCCCACGCCAGTCGGCAAGGCACCTGAATATGATTTTACATCAATTAGTTCAACAGATAAACATCAAGACGAGCTGAACAGTACAAACTAAACATAAAGGCGAGCTGAACAGTACAAACTAAACATAAAGGCGAGCTGAACAGTACAAATAAACATAAAGGCAGGCTGAACAGTACAAACTAAACATAAAGGCGAGCTGAACAGTACAAACTAAACATAAAGGCGAGCTGAACAGTACAAACTAAACATAAAGGCGAGCTGAACAGTACAAATAAACATAAAGGCAGGCTGAACAGTACAAATAAACATAAAGGCAGGCTGAACAGTACAAAAAAACATAAACGCAGGCTGAACAGTACAAATAAACATAAACGCAGGCTGAACAGTACAAATAAACATAAAGGCAGGCTGAACAGTACAAACTAAACATTGAGGCGAGCTGAACAGTACAAATAAACATAAACGCAGGCTGAACAGTACAAACTAAACATTGAGGCGAGCTGAACAGTACAAATAAACATAAAGGCAGGCTGAACAGTACAAACTAAACATTGAGGCGAGCTGAACAGTACAAATAAACTTAAACGCAGGCTGAACAGTACAAACTAAACATTGAGGCGAGCTGAACAGTACAAATAAACATAAAGGCAGGCTGAACAGTACAAACTAAACATTGAGGCGAGCTGAACAGTACAAATAAACATAAACGCAGGCTGAACAGTACAAACTAAACATTGAGGCGAGCTGAACAGTACAAATAAACATAAAGGCAGGCTGAACAGTACAAACTAAACATTGAGGCGAGCTGAACAGTACAAATAAACATAAACGCAGGCTGAACAGTACAAACTAAACATAAAGGCTGGCTGAACAGTACAAACTAAACATTGAGGCGAGCTGAACAGTACAAATAAACATAAAGGCGGGCTGAACAGTACAAACTAAACATTAAGGCGAGCTGAACAGTACAAATAAACATAAACGCAGGCTGAACAGTACAAACTAAACTTAAAGGCAGGCTGAACAGTACAAACTAAACATTGAGGCGAGCTGAACAGTACAAATAAACATAAAGGCGGGCTGAACAGTACAAACTAAACATAAAGGCGAGCTGAACAGTACAAACTAAACATAAAGGCGAGCTGAATAGTAGAAACTAAACATTGAGGCGAGCTGAACAGTACAAACTAAACATAAAGCCGAGCTGAACAGTACAAACTAAACATAAAACCGAGCTGAACAGTTCAAACTAAACATAAAGGCGAGCTGAACAGTACAAACTAAACATAAAGGCGAGCTGAACAGTACTGCCTAGACTAAAGGTATATCATCAATACCATTAAGAGCCTTGCCAGCTGGCATGGACGATCATGTCTTTCCACAACTTGCGAACTGCAACAACATATATCAGAGTGCTGACACCCTTTCATACCACGACAAAAGGCTATCGAGAATCTGCTCGTGCCGTCTTCCTCTATCTCTCGGTTCACAAATCTTTCCAGTCGCCACAAGTTCAAGTCTTTGTAGATAAATATACAGACACTCCACGCATATCTAGATTTAAAGTATCCACTATTTTTTTTTTACAGTCGCCGTGGCAGTGCGATTCGACGCTCGTCGCGGATCGGAAGACCGTAGCCAGACTTTTTTCAAAAATGACCTTGGCTCCCAGGTCGACCCAGCTTTGAGTGGGTACAGGGTGTAGTCCCGGGGAAGTAAAGGCGGTCGGCGTGATGCTAACCACATCACCCATCCTGTGCCGATTGGTTTATAAAATATAGGTCTAGCCCTATATGCTCATATCGCCTAAAGGCGTGGAAAAGGGTCCTTAACTTACTCACGATTTTGTCACAGAAATGTCTACACAAAGAAACCAAAACAAAACAAGAAACAAGCAAGTAAACGAGAGAAAGTCTATATATTTATAATGTATGTATTTGTTACACAGCAATTGTTATTTAGCATCAACCGTTGAGATTTTCACAACTGGTATAGTCCGTGTTGCACAGCCGACATTCGCATCCCGTGGCGTCGAAGACCAGTACTGTAGGATCAGGGTAGTTCGGGCAGCCTGCGATAGTGGCGACTCTACTGGTTCGGCCAGTATAGGTGCACACTGGGTGGTGGGAGATTCTGTAGGGCAAGATGTAGTCGCCGATCTGAAAGAGATCAAAGGAAGGATTTAGCATATAATTATTCGGGTTTGAAATCATCGTCATCATAAAAAAAAAAAAAAAAACAGCAGCGATATGAGCTGTCAGGTAAATGTAAAGGTGAGAGGCTCGACATCACCGCACTGGTTTTTATCCCACATGGCCCAGTCTCTCTCCGCAGAACAGATAGTCGCCTGCCGAGAGCATCGCACCGAGCACGACCTCTGTAGCTCAGGCGACGATCCCTAGTGATCTCTGTAAAATGTGCACATATGAACTGAACTGAAACAAACTCACGACCTTTAGAGCGATAGGTAAATGACTTGACCGCTTCGCCATTTATACTCCCCCCCCCCACTCTCTCCCGCTACGCCCATGAGCTATCACTAATTGTCCAGTTGTGTCATTATATGTCAAACAGGGCTTGCGGTCGATTCCTCTATTTCATTCTATACTGTGCAATTATTTTGATATCGTGGATTGAATTCCGTTCAGAACCTTTGGTTTCTCTCATCAACGTAGAATTCAGTTCAGAACCTTTGGCTTCTCTCATCAACGTAGAATTCAGTTCAGAACCTTTGGCTTCTCTCATCAACGTAGAATTCAGTTCAGAACCTTTGGTTTCTCTCATCAACAAAGAAATCAGTTCAGAACCTTTGGCTTCTCTCATCAACGTAGAATTCAGTTCAGAACCTTAGGTTTCTCTCATCAACGTAGAATTCAGTTCAGAACCTTGGGCTTCTCTCATCAACGTAGAATTCAGTTCAGAACCTTGGGCTTCTCTCATCAACGTAGAATTCAGTTCAGAACTTGGGCTTCTCTCATCAACGTAGAATTCAGTTCAGAACCTTTGGCTTCTCTCATCAACATTGAATTCAGTTCAGAACCTTTGGCTTCTCTCATCAATGTAGAATTAAGTTCAGTACCTTGGGCTTCTCTCATCAACGTAAAATTCTGTTCAGAACCTGTACTTCTCTCATCAACGTAAAATTCCGTTCAGAACCTTTGCTTCTCTCATCAACGTTCATTTTAGGGTTTATTTTGTACGTACTCGCTTCCTGAATCCGTTTGTGTCCCATTTTAGTTCCTATTTGGTGATTCCCTGCTCGTTTCCTCCCAGGGTTTATCTAATATTGCCAGTCTGTTGCTACCAGTGGTTGACGTGACATTTCTCTTATTTATTCATCTTTCTTGCATTCATCAAATTTGCAGTTCAATATTTTCCACAGGCATTTGTTTTGAAATACAGTGATACCCCTATATACGTTCGTTTCGGTCTACGTTCCGCTTGATACACGCCCTGTTTAGATGCGAAAACTATTGCTTTTTACACAACCTTGTTTTTTATTTTAAATATGAAATTTTAAGAGTCTTAATTAATTATGACACCACGCGCTATCTGTGGTTATCTCCCAGGAGACAAAGCCACGGAGAGGTGTCAACAACTGCAGAGACGCACCTCCCCAACAAAGCCGAAACATGTTGTAAAAGCATTGTATGACCTAACAACGTTTCAAACAAGTTGCAATATCATTGTCTTGTACGACCGAACAATGTTTCGGAAACATTTTGAACAGAACGCAGAAACAAAGTTCTTTAGGCAGACTTTTAGCGGAAACCAAACATCAGATTCTTGAAGTTGTTTTTTGGGAGGGGGACTCTCTTTCAAACAAGAAAGTCTCACGCTCCGCCTTCCATTGCATCACCATCTTGGTACGTATTCTACCTTTCTCGGCAAGGGGAAGTGGCGTTAAATTTGTATTTATTTCATCTAACTGCTTTTGTATTTATGTATTGGGCAATATATAAGGAAGAATATTCTATCCAATCTTTCCTTTTTAACCGAAGCGAGAACTAAAATTCACAAGAGATATATAAATCATATCCTGATATACGGGAGACCGACAGAATAGATGCTGGACAGTTTGACATAGAAGCAAAGAAGATAATCAGTGTCAGAATTAAAAGTATTCGAGAAGAATGTGGATAAACCTGAATACCAAGGCCACACGGCATGGACTTTAAGAAGATACATACAACACAATCTATGATAAGAACACAACAGATGAAAAGACAAAAAATACTCGCAAACACAACCAAACTCTTCTGCCGGAGTCTTTATCAAAGGAGTAGTAACAGATTAAACAACCGGCAAGGTCAGCTACTTGGAACCAGGAAAAAAGCGAAATATCCAAAAATGTGGAGAGGAAGGACTTTTTCTTTATTTCATGATCACGGATAACAGATTCCATTTTTTTTTTCGTCAGTCAAATGTTAAAATTTTATGTTTTCCAATAACTAGTGAATTGCAGAAAGATCACTGGGTTGGTAATTTGTTGAAGCCCTACTCTGGTAATCTTTGGTAATCTGGTAATCCTAGTTTCAGCTTCATAGCAAACGGGTCACCCCATAGTTGCTCCGCTCCTGTGCTAACGAAAAATACACGTAGCTCACAGTGTCACGCCATGCACTCAACTCAGAAGCTGGGCGACGAAACTATATCCTTCCAGTCTACAAATGGAGCAAAAATGCAACGGCCACCGTCTGGCAGGGAAAAAAAGGTGGCCGTGCCTAGCGTCCATTTTGACCTGAAGCATTATATGAGGGTAAGCCCTACTCTGGCTAATGCCAGAGGCCGCACTATAGCCCGGCCATAAATATGGCCTAATGGCTGATCGTGTTTTCTGGGACCTCTCCACGGTGATCCTCGCCCACATGGTGGCACATTGTGTCATTGGGTGTTTATGGCTTGTATGATGTCCTAGTGGGGTAGAAAGTCAGCCATCTACCTTTGTTCTACTATGATTTCAGATAGACTTGCTGTGCTAGTTTATCTCATTGAAAAAGAATTGACTATTGCTGTCCATTAAAATTAAGTAATAGATAACTACCTGAATGAAGCAATTGCGAAAGACATTATTATAGTTTCACCATGGATTTTCACACAGTGTCGTTTTTTTTTTTTTTAAAAGTGTGCAAATGAAAACAAATAACACATGACTTTGTTGTTTTTGTTTTTAGATTAATCATTTCACTTCCGTCTCCAACAAACTGCCTTTGGTTTTAATACGACATAAAAGTGTTCCAGGGTTAGTGGGAGGAGAAGAGGGGGGGGGGGGGGTGAGATGGGGGGGGGGAAGGGGGTGAGTTGGTAGACTCACTGCGTCCAATAAACGTGTCGTAAAAGGCGACTAATTAGGGATGTTTCCGTCGAAGACGTAGTGCATCGGCCTGAGTGCGGACGAACCCACAGTCCGTTGACAAATAAGCAAGATCTATAAATTGGGTGTGCCCGCGAAACTCAAGTTCTAGAGCAAGAAGACAGTCCAGAAGTGGACGAACAACCAGAAGCTACTGACAGCATTTGCAGCCGGACGACGAAAATAAGAGAAAGGCCTCAAGTGTTCCAACTAAAGACACTAAACCCTTAGCTTTTTTCTTGATTCACAAAATGTAAGCGGGAACCTAGCAGTCTGAGTCGTTAGGAACTAAACTCAAGACCAGTGGCTCTCAACCTTCCTAATGCCGCGACCTTTTAATACAGTTCCCTCAGGTTGTGGCGACCCTTTAATACAATTCCCTCATGTTGTGGCGACCCTTTAATACAGTTCCCTCATGTTGTGGCGACCCTTTAATACAGTTCCCTCATGTTGTGGCGACCCTTTAATACAGTTCCCTCATGTTGTGGCGACCCTTTAATACAGTTCCTTCATGTTGTGGCGACCCTTTAATACAGTTCCCTCATGTTGTGGCGACTCTTTAATACAGTTCCCTCATGTTGTGGCGACTCTTTATTACAGTTCCCTCATGTTGTGGCGACCCTTTAATACAGTTCCCTCATATTGTGGCGACTCTTTATTACAGTTCCCTCATGTTGTGGCGACCCTTTAATACAGTTCCCTCATGTGGCGACCTTTTAATACAGTGTTGTGGCGACCTTTTAATACAGTTCCCTCATGTTGTGGCGACCCTTTTAATACAGTTCCCTCATGTTGTGGCGACCCTTTAATACAGTTCCCTCATGTTGTGGCGACCCTTTAATACAGTTCCCTCATGTTGTGGCGACCCTTTAATACAGTTCCCTCATGTTGTGGCGACCCTTTAATACAGTTCCCTCATGTTGTGGCGACCCTTTAATACAGTTCCCTCATGTTGTGGCGACCCTTTAATACAGTTCCCTCATGTTGTGGCGACCTTTTAATACAGTTCCCTCATGTTGTGGCGACCCTTTAATACAGTTCCCTCATGTTGTGGCGACCCTTTAATACAGTTCCCTCATGTTGTGGCCACCCTTTAATACAGTTCCCTCATGTTGTGGCGACCCTTTAATACAGTTCCCTCATGTTGTGGCGACCCTTTAATACAGTTCCCTCATGTTGTGGCGACCCTTTAATACAGTTCCCCCATGTTGTGACGACCCTTTAATACAGTTCCCTCATGTTGTGGCGACCCTTTAATACAGTTCCCTCATGTTGTGGCGACCCTTTAATACAGTTCCCTCATGTTGTGGCGAACCCTAAACAATTAGTTTCCTTCATAACTTCAAACAATATGTGTTTTCCCATGGTCTTAGGAGATTCCCGTGAAAGGGTCGTTCGACCCCCCCCCCCCCCCCCCCCCCTTAAAAAAAAAAAAAAAGAGAACAGCGTCCGGCAGGCAGAGAACCGCTGCTATAACCCCTAGAGTATCGGTTCTTAAACTTCTTTCTCCGCGGCATCCTGTTCGGAATTTTAAAAATATCGCGCCACAGCTGCTTTTTAAGCTTTCGAATACATAAGAAAAAGAGGAAGGAAGGAAAAAAAACATTTCAAATTTAATGTTTATTTGCCTTTATTGAGATGAATGAAACTATTTGGATTAATTTTTCATTTTTACCGCGGGCCCCCTGGCATACGCTCGCGGCATCCCTGGCATACGCTCGCGCACAGGATGAGACAATCCCCCAGGGTACCGCGGCACCCAGTTTGAGAATCGCTGCCCCAGCGTATCACAGCCTGCAACAGTTT